TGGAGCGATGGAGCAGCTGGAGACTTTAGATCCAGAGAGGGAGAGCAACTGTGTGCTGAAGACTGGGGGGGAGGGGTAGTATAGGGGGCAGGCTTGCAGTGTATACCCTTTGGTTGGTTAATGATACATGGAGGGGATTGGAACCACAGCAATGAAATTATATACAATAGAATGAATGTAAAACTAATGTTCTCCCATGCAAACTATCATATAATTCACAATAAAACATTTAAAAAATAAAACCAAAGTCTTTGAGCACTTCAATCTTTTCTCCATTTATCATGATGTTATTTGTTGGTTCGGTGGTGAGGGCTTTTGTTTTCTTTACATAGAGGTGCAGCCCACACTGACAGCTGTGGTATTTGATCTTCATCAAAAAGTATTTTAAGTCCTCTTCACTTTCAGCAAGCAGGGTTGTATTGTCTGCATATCACAGATAATTAACGAGTCTTCCTCTACTCTTGATATCACATCCTTCTTCATATAATCCAGTTTCTCAGATTATTTGCTCAGCATACAGATCGAATAAGTATGATGAAAAAATACAATCGGGATGCACACCTTTCTTAATTTTAAATAGTTCTGTGTTCCTTTGTACTGTTCAAATGACTGCCTCTTGAACTGTGTAGCAGTTCCTTATTTAAAAAATGTATTTTTTTTTTTTTTTAAGGTTCCAGGAAAGAATATAATACCAATTGAAATGTTTCAACAAACTGATGTAGCTCCTGAAGCACTCACTAGTTTATGCCAAGAAATTCGGAAGATAGCTACCTGGCCAACTGAGTGGATGATATCCATATTTTTGTTAATTTCAAAGAACTGTAACCCAACAAAATGCATAAACAATCTGCTAATATCATTAATATTACATACAAAAAAATTTTGCTCAAGATAATCCAAAAACAGTTGCGGCAGTACATAGACAGGTTACTATCAGAAACTCAAGCCAGTTTCAGAATAGGACATGGAATTGGGGATACCACTGCTAATGTCAGATGGATGCTGACTGGAAGCAGAGAATACCAGAGAGATGTTTACCTGTGTTTTATTAGCTATGCAAAAACATTCAACTGTGTGAATCATAG